CGAGCCTCGATCTCCCACATCCTTGATTCAAGGCATACGTCCTTCGACACGATCGTATTCCGAATCACGGTCGAAATGTCTCCCGTTTCGTCTCGATCCGTCCTATCGTTCGAGTTTTACGATAAAAACCGTAAAACTCCGTTTTCCCGAAAAGAACTCGAAGAAATCGTATAAAACGGTAACGGTTAATCAAAACACCAAACATCGCCTAAAATATACGATTTATCCAAGATTCTTCGTTAAGATTATAAAAAACGCGTTTTTAATAAAAAACGTCGAGAGAATCGTAAAAAAACGGCATCGGATCAGGAAACAGTCTCGTTAAAGTCGTCAAACGGTTTTTATCGTAAAACGGCCCGAAAGTTCTTAAAACACGATAAAAACCCATCTCGCGACGTTAACGAAATCAAACCCGAAGATACGATAACGTTTTGACGGTCTACTCGCAGACGGAAGATAAAAGGCAAGTTTGAAGATAAATAGAAGATTTCCGCATAAGAAAAGGAAGGATCGACAGATATGGAAAGTTCCCGAAATATTCGGTTTCGAGCAAAATGGAAAGACTAAAACCTCCTAAGGAGGAGTATATAAGGAGGAGGCATAGGGCAGAAGCTTGGACACGATTTTCAGAGCTCTCACCACCAAAATTATCATTTAGGAAACCTAATCGCGACTCTTCGCCACGGAAAGAGCAACAAAACAAGCTCACGATTTCTATCTCAGATCACTAAGGGCAACGATAAAATCTATCAAACCCCATAGTGTTTTTCTTATTTCCGAGTTGGATAAATCTCACGCGTTAAGCAAAAGACGTTTTCCGAGAACCTTTCGGAAAAATAAAACTTGCTCTCCCAGAAACCGCGGAACAAACCGTAACTTACTCGCGAAATAAATCCTAGGATACTCGCGGAAAACCCTAGGCTGTTCGCGGAAAATCCTTAGGTGACTCGCGGAAAAACCGTAGGTTATTCGCGGCAAAACCCTAGGTTGTTCGTGGAAAAACCCTAGGTTACTCGCGGAGAAAGCCTTAGGTGACTCGCGGAAAAACCGTAGGTTATTCGCGGCAAAACCCTAGGTTGTTCGCGGAAAAACCCTAGGTTACTCGCGGAGAAAGCCTTAGGTGACTCGCGGAAAAACCGTAGGTTATTCGCGGAAATACCCTAGGTTGTTCACGGAAAAACCCTAGGTTACTCACGGAGAAAGCCCTAGGTTACTCGCGGAGAAAGCCCTATGTTATTCGCGGAAAAACCCTAGGTTGTTCATGGAAAAACCCTAGGTTACTCACGGAGAAAGCCCTAGGTTACTCGCGGAGAAAGCCCTATGTTACTCGCGGAAAAACCCTAGGTTATTCGCGACAAAACCCTAGGTTATTCGCGACAAAACCCTAGGTTGCTCGCGGAAGAACCTTAGGCTACTCGCAGAATCGGGCAATACTATCCAGCCGAAAAGACGGTGAGTTGGCCAAGCAACCTAGCTTGCCATCTTGGCGAGCTGACCGGCTTTCTACCTCGTCCCAGAGGCACTGACTTTTTCCCGAGGGTCCGCACAATCCAACTCATAGCTATGGTGAGCCGGACCGTACTCTAAACAATAATCGCACTGCTTTTCGTTTCGTCTTAATCAAAGTTTTCGTTGAGGTTTTACCACGAAAACAAGATAACTTGATGAATCGGGATTGTGCTCGCCGACTCACCATTAGGCAAGTTGGACAAGCTCAATGGATCGAAACATCTCCATCTCGAATCTTGATCAAGACGCTTTTCGTTTCGTCTCAATCGGACTTTCCGTTGAGATTCTACGACGGAAACGAGTCAACTCGACGAATCGAGATCACCCGCGCCAAGCGTCTTAGCTCGCCGAACGTAGAGCTAGCTAGCTCGCCATACAGCGTGCTGACCTGAGCGCCTGGCTCGCCCAAGAGACGCTGACTTCGCCCCAAGGGTTCTTACAATCCAGATCGCCACACGAGGAGCTGAAAGGGTTCACCCGACTTGCCTTACGTCGAGCTGAACCAATCCTCGAGTTCTCTCGAAGTCTTGATCGCGCTGATTCTCGTTTCGTCTGAACCGGAATTTCCATCGGGATTTTACGATAAAACCACAAAGACTTGTTTCTTCGTATAAGTTCGAATCAATCGTCTAAAACGGCAACGGTTGACTTAACACCAAAGTTGCCTAAACTATACGAGAAATCTGAACTCTCTAAACCTAATCCGATTTTACGAAACTCTGCCACGCTAAGTCGAAAACATCCAATCATAAACACGTGATTGATTTTTTCGATATACAAAGCGCACCTAGTCGGTCAAATAAAACCAGCAGTACGAAGAAACAAGAACACGAGCTCCGATGGTTAAGTCTTCTCCCCGCTCCGATACTCTCGCTGGTAATTCGTCGAAGACCGGTAGGTCAAAAGATGAAGAACGAAGAATAGACGACCCCAAATCATCGATGAAGCTAAGGTATGTTCGATTCAAAAATTTTATTAGACTTCTAATTTCTCGTAGGTAAGAAACGAAAACGTCTTGTAAACTGCCAAGAAACCTAGAGAACTTAGAATTTAGAAGATAGTCTAGCATGCTAAGTCGTAAGCAATTTTTGTCTATCTCGATTTGTCGTTCTCTAACCATTCAGGCATAACTCGCAAACCGATCCAATCTCTCGTACAACCGAGAAACGATCGCCACTCATTCAAACGTACTCATTTCCTAAAAGAAAGAAGGAGCTAGAGACGCTGACGTCGTCTTAAAACCGACTCGCTCCTAGAAGTTCTCGTAAATCAGGCATACGCCAAGTCATCTCCGATCCACCATGGTCTTTAATCGACCCGGATTGTCGATCATCCAAATCCTTCAAACGAAACTCGCCTTTCTTATTTCGCTTAACATTTTTCCTCGCATCAAGAAAACGCTTTCTAAAATAAGCGGAAAAATATTCGGACGATGCAACACCTCGTAGAAATTATTCCAAAAGCAAACGACAATCTAAAAACCGTCTAAGTGTTAAAGACTGATCCAAACCGTCTGGGAAATAATCTCGAGGAATATACAGCATCTCTCGTCGCAATCATGCGGTTAGAAAATCTCTGCGAAGTTTCAGAGCGAAACTCGATTATTTGCCGAAGTCATAAAGATCTT